ACACAGAAATTGAAACTGGGGCCCACTTGTGCACTGCCTTTGCCAACATGTTCATATCAGGGAGATTTCACATCCTCGTGTGCAAGAACCTAATTCTGAACTTTCTCAGTTGAAGTCTGGACTTTCTCTGTGAACATCAAGTTCATGTAAAGCAGAGTAGATTAGTTCCCAAGGTACCTTTTGTAGTATACACAATGCTGAATTTCATTTTTCTTATTCAAAACAGAAGAGAAGGAAAGCTGGTGCTGTTGTGTATTTCATTCCTGTGATCAATGCTATTATTACTTCCCACAGGTTTGCAAAAACAGACCCTACTCAAGTGGTTTTGAGCGTCTCCCCAGGAATATCCAGGTGCCGCAGGGTCTCCTCAAGCTCTCCAGGTGAGTCTCTTTGTTTCCAGTGCAGATCTCCTCCTGGGATGAAAGCAGGCATGGGACTGGCTCCTGCTGTCCCACTGGGGCAGTCTTAGAATGGTGGTGATCTGTGCTGTGCACATCAATGGGCTTTATCATTAGTTGGACTTAATGTCAACTTTGCATTTGTTTCAACATGAAAACAGTATTTATCATAGAAGTGGGTTGAGTCTAAACATAGTGAGAATGGACCAGAGCTCATCACTGCTCTTTATTAATCTTTTAAGCCAGCTAATTAAAGAAGCAGAACATGTTCTTGCTCTTTGCAGTGCTTACTAGTATAGACAAAGTATTAATTTCAACCTTAGCTGCAGGAGGACATTGGCAAGAGATGTTTGGATCTGAGTAGGTTTCCAGTTTTGTTTTAGTCTGTTTCTTAACATCTGCTGAGGTGGGTGGCTGCTTCAGTGGGGAGGGAAAATTAACTTTATTGATTGAGTAATTTCCTTTATGAAGGCTCTGAAGGGGATGGCTGCCTGCAGAAATAATATTTGTTAAATGGCCATATTTGGAAAATGAGTCAGTGAGAAAATAGCATGCAAAATCACCAGCTTATCTCCAGCAAGGAAAGAACAGAAATGTGCTAAGAAAGGAAGATAGATGCTGACTTGGAGATGACAAGATAAAATTACCCTAATAGGATTTTTAAAAATTTATTAACTAAGAAAAATATATTAAGAAAATGTTGGAACTGGCCATTCCAAATGCTAAAACTTTTTAAATTAGAAAATTTGTGCAGAAATAACTGCCCATCTGCAAAATATATTTAGTTCACATTAATGCTGCATTTACAGGGTTTTGCAGCTCTATCCTTCCCCTACCTTCACCTGCTTTTTCTAAAAAAAAAAACCAAAAACTGAAAGAGGACACAATGATGTATTCAAGACATTAACAATCAAGAAAGGGAAAATAAACATCTTTTTGTTGTATGAACTACTTCAGCATAGTATGGAAGGATGGCAAGACCCTGAAAACTTAAAATACCTCCCAGGCAAATCCTGAGGTTTCAGAGACCCTGGCAGCAGCCCGTCTAACTAGCTCCGGTTACTGTCTCTTTAGCAGCTTTGTCACTGCTGACCCCTCTCATTTACTGTGAGTCTTTATAAGAGAACATTTTCCACAGCCTTTTGTCCTGGCAGCTTACTCTTTAAACCCAGGAGCAGACTGAAATAGTTTCTACTTTCTACCAGTTCGTGGGTGTCTTGGGTCTCATTTCCTCTCGAGTTCCTGAAGAGATGCCGTGGCCTCACTTGGCTTTTATGATGCTGTGGGCTTGGAGTGCCTGCTAGGGAAATGGTAATGCTTGTTATTTGGAAATCTTGGGGAAGGAGAAAGGAGACCAGCAGCAAATTGATGTGAAGTTAAATTATTGCTTTTGTCCATAGCCTTGAGACTGGGGTGGGAAGTGGTAGATGAAACACTATGAAATCTGATATTTACTAAGTAAGCTTTTAAAACTCACACATTAGCCTGGGAGGCTGCCTGAGGAACAGAATAACTCTGCACTGATGCAACTGAAATGCTCCCTGCCAGAGCTAAGCCCCACCAGCTCGGCACCAGAGGCGTGTGCGGGGAAACGCCGGGGCTGAGGGGGCCGCCGTGCTCGGGCTGACAGGCCCCGGCAGCCCGGGGGACCTGGAGGGCCTGGGCTGGAAGGTATAAAAGGTTTGCAGCAGTGGGACTTGTTCTCTCTGCAAATCCCTGCCCACCACTGCTCTAACTCGGGTAACAAAGCGTGCCCAAGGAAAGGCAGCGCTCTGGGTGTCCGGGGCATTGCAGAGCAGACACACAGCAGCGGCAGGGACTGCGGCCTTGGCACAGCCCCATGGCAGCGCCTTCCCTTCCCTTCCCTCCCCTCCCCTCCCCTCCCCTCCCCTCCTCGTGGGCACTGCCTCGTGCCTGTGCTCTTTCCATGAAATTCCCAAGTCTCATCAGTGACAACGTGTGTTTCCTAGCCCACCTGAAAATTCTTCTCTCTGGAATGGCTTTGCTGTATGATTTTTCAGAGACCTAAGTGCCTGTACTCGGCACTGGTGAGTCTGCACCTTGAATCCTGTGTTCAGTTTTGGGCCCCTCACTGCAAGAAAGGCTTTGAGGTGCTGGAGCATGTCCAAAGTGCAACAAAGGTGGTGAAGGCTCTGGAGCAGCTGAGAGAGCTGGGTGTGTTTAGCCTGGAGAAAAGGAGGCTCAGGGGAAACCTTACTGCTCTCTACAACAGCTTGAAAGGAGATTATGGCAATGTGTGGATCAGCCTCTTCTCCCAGGCAACTAGTGACAGGATTCAAGTGACACCAGGGGGTGCTCAGATTGGATATTGGGAAACATTTCTCCATGGAAAGCATTGGCAAGCATTGGAACAGACTGACCAGGGAAGCGTTTGAGTCGCTGTCCCTGGAGGTATTTGAGAAGTGTAGATGTGGCACTTGGGGACATTTTAGTGGTGGACTTGGCAGTGTTAGGGTAACTGCTGGATTTGATGATCTTAAAGGTCTTTCCCAACCAAAACAATTCCATTATTCTGATTCCAAATGTTCTTATGGGGAATCAGTTGATCAGAGCAGTATTGAAATACAGTGCTGTAAATGCAACCAACAAAGGGAGGAGTACAAGGTGTGAAACAACGACAGAATGAGGTGTGTGATGGCCTTTCCTAAGGTTATCACAAAGAAAAACATTTTAAAAAATACAACTTCCTACAAGTCAGAAGGCACCAGCTCTGGCCAATGAACATTTCAGCAGTTCTTTAAAAGATAATCCTTCCAAGAATAATATTTAAACCCGCTGTTTACAGTGAGGGTTGTTTTCCTGCCCTGGGTTGCGGAGTGGTTTCATCCTTACTCTGTTTGCTTTAATAAAGATGGATGTATCACTCTCATGTCCCAGAGAAATATGAATTAGGTTATTTCCCTCTAACTGAAGTGTCCTCTATATCTTAATTGGATGTACTCTAATTTGCCCTGTGAGGTTGGGGAAGAGGAACATTCTATGCAGAAAATCCTGTCCAGTCCAGGTCACACAGGAGGTCTAATGAATGAAAGGCTGCTGAGGTTGTTCCATCAGCTCCTTTCATCTGCCCCAGAGCCTCCATCAGCTTGCAGAACAGAAAATAATTAAGCATTGCAATAGAAGTTTTCATAGTATTTACAGGCAGATGAAGATCTGCACTACTGAATGTAGTGTAACTCAATTGTTTAAAGGGGCAACAGGTCCTAGTCTTCCACTGACTTTTTTCCCCAAGGCAGTACATTCAGAATTGAAAGAAGTGGTGCTAGTGCCCCTTTTCATGCCAGCCACGCTACCTTGAGCTGCACCCTTTCCCCTGGGCTCTAGTTATATGTTAGGAAGCTCTTCCACTGGGAGTGTCTTCAGGAAGCCCAACCAGTGCCAGTTCTAATCTCTGTACCAAAATGGCAAACACTGATCTGCTTTGTGTTGGATTTGGTGTAAAGGATGGGCTCAGTTATACCTGTTTGAAGTACAACATAAACATTTTCTAGCTGCATTTTCTATAGTAGATTTACTCAGCTCAGTCTGGTCTCCAACAAATGACTCTTGTAGAGTGGACTACAACTGATGCCATAGGTGAGAAGCAAAATCCCATTTTTTTGAACAAACACAAGGCTTTAATGTCTTTCATCTGTATTGTGGTGTATTTGGGCTTACTCCCAGTAGGACAACTATTAAGATACATTTCTTCTTAATCAAGTGTTGTTATTGAAAACCATATTAATTCAATGGCAAGCCATTAAAATGGGGGTCTGAGGAGGAGCATATGACAGGGGAGGAGAGGCAAAGGAGGGTGGGTTTGTTTGTCCTGAGACAAAAGGGATTGGGAGGATCCAGCTACATTCTTCTGCTATCAAAAGGAGTGTTAGAGAGTTGAAAGGTAATTTCAGTAAACAGAAACTTTGTTAAATAGTAAAATGCTTCATAGGCAGAAGAACAGGGACTGCCCCTGAGGTTACACAGTACTGAGAATTAGGATATACCTCAGTACTGGTAATACCTGTTCACTGCTCAAAGCAAGCCAGATTAAGCAATGTTCCTCATATAGTCACTTCTCAGAATTTTGGGGGGTTTAAATGTTCTTGTGATTTCTGAACATGTACTGTGTTCTTGAAGCTGCTATCCTGACAGTAGTGGGGAGAAATAAAAAGCCTCAAGTTAGAAGCCTGAGTTTCATGGGAATTGTAAATGTCTCAGTGAATTTCAGTGGTTCTTTAAGCAAGCAAAATGAGAGACTCCAATGCCTCTGTGTAATCAATTTCAACATTTATGACTCAGACTATGAAACATGCAGTGGTGAATTATTCACTCTGGGCCAAGAAGAAAAATAAGACAACATCTCTTACACTGTGAAATATTATTACAGGACAGCAGTGGTATGTTGAACTCCCAAAAATCCTCTTAGTGTAAACTAACTGAAAGTAGCAAAACATAACAGTCTTGGCTTTTGGACATATACAGTTTAATTTCATAGTCTTTTGGGGTTTGTTTTTAAAACTGCTCTTTTCTTAAAGCACAGGAAAAGCTGAAGTGAAAAGACACACATTTGTTTATTGGAAAAGCACGATGTAACATGATCGTTGTTATTTCTGTTGCCTTTGATCCTCGACACACAAGACAGTGTGGCTTAAAGGTTGGGCAGGGTCGCAGTCTCTCTGGCCCCTGGGCCTTTGCTATGGATGCCTGGATGCCTGAAGTGGTCTTCATTTGACACCTTCACAGTAGCCTGAAACACTCAGCAAGTGATCTGTGTCCAGCTTGTGAATCTCTTGGCATTTTTTTCAGAGAGATCATGTCCTGAGACAACCTCTTTGCACTTTGACTAGCTGAAAGTAACGTAGACCTAATGTTAACATCGCTTGAAAAGAAGCTATGGGGGAAAGCACTTTTCAGGAAAAACAAAAAAAAAAACCAAACCACAACTAAATCAGGTATAAACCTACTTTACTTGTACTTATTCCTACTGGCTCGATCCAGAAAGCCTCATTATTGTCACCCAACTTTTAGGCAAAATCACTGGGTTTTTTCTTTCCTCCCTGACATATTGTATTAGCAGTCAGAAAGCCTGAGGAAAGAATCATGCAAAGTCTATGTGCTCAGCAAGAAGTTGCTTGGATGATTGCATGAGTCCGACTACAGCTTCAGGGAAAAGCCTTTCTGCAGGAGCCTGGTCCTGGCTCTGTCCTGAGGACATTTCCATGGTCCATTTCTTCTGGGGTGCTCTGCAGCTTGCTGTGTCTCAGATGTGCACCTTTCCCATGGCAGTGCGTGGTTACTGCCCTTGCAGATAAAGCAGGGGCTTTACATTTGGTTCTCTTCTCTACTAGAGAGAATTGAAATCCACATGTCCTATTTCCAAGGCAACCACTTATCCTGTAAGAACACCTTTCACTCCTTTTGAATGTGTTCTTCCAAATCAAAATTAATTGAATTGAGAGAAAGCATGGATACAAAGAAACAAAAAGGCTGCGGGACTGTGGGCTACCGCTTAGGGCACTCATGAGGAAGAGGGAGGTTCTGAGCCGTGGTTCCTGCTCCCCAAGATGAGTTTGGGGTTTGAGCAGCGATGTATGCCAGCACTTCTGGCAGCAGGGAGAGTAACCAGAACCCTCTGCTGGGCCTGGAGCACTCTGAGCATGGCGATGCTTCCCTGAGCAGTTCCATGGCTTCAGCTGGTGAGATGAGGAGTGCTGCCTCGTGCAGGATGAAGATGTCACCCAGTGACAGAGGCATCCTGCTCAGAATCACAGCTTTCTTGCCCACAGGCAGAAGGAGCCAAGCACCAGATTAAGCAATTGAGAGCACCCCACCTCATTCTCTCTTCTACAGGAAGGCAGGAGGTGCCATGACATCTGTCTGCACCTCTGAGAGTTGGGAGCCCTCTGCCTGATGGCTGTGTTTGCTGCCCCCGGGCTGAGCTAAAGCCCTGCTTCTGGGTGTGGAGTGGGTTGAAGCTGCGCATCTCTGCTAACCCTCAGCTGAAGCAGTTCTGGGTGTGTAAAGTGGTGCAGCTCAGGGCACCTGCATGGGGAAGTAGAAAAAGTAGGTATCTGTCAAACTGAGTTTTCTCTAGTGCTAGGAGGCAATCAGAAAAAGAGAGTCTGGGATGGGATATTTGAGTCCTGCATGATTCTCTTTTGATGGCCTTGTATGCTGTTTTTGTCTCCCCCTCTCTTTTTATTTTTTTTTTTTTAATTATCACAGGTCTCTTGGTCTGAATTCCCTCATTTCAAGAACCCTAACAGGTCTCTGAAAGGATAAGAATTTAAAGGCTTTAGGTACTTCTAGTGCAACTATGCATAAGAAGTGTCCTCCAGTATATGGAAAAGATAGTCTAAAACCTGCTTCCAGTTCCTCCATTTAATCTAAAGGTTGTTTTTTCAAGAAGCTTGTGAGGAGTCCTGTTCATACTAGTACTTAGTGTTACAAAGTAATACTGCTTTTGGGTATGTGCAAATTTGGCTGCAGTGATGTTTTAGCCTGGACATGCTCAGCCAGGACATGTTACAGGAAGAAGGATCAGCACTGGCTCACTCCTGCTGTACTGGCAGGCATTCCCTGTCACTGATGTCTCTGCTGTTGGAGCCAGGCAGAGGAGGATAAAGTTAGGATAGGCAAGGGAAGAGTGACATGTAAAATCATGAATCTCAGCGTTCTAATCACAACCATGGTTATAATTAGTGATATGGCAAAGACAAAAATATGCAACATGCCTGAGGAACCTATATATCTGCTGCTCCTGGATTGCTATCTGACAAGCTTATTAACCACAGCACTGTTGAAATACATACTCAGAATGGTTGCTTGGGACTGGGCTGACTGTTCTTTCATTATAGTGACATGGAGAGAGCAAAGAGAAACTTAAAGAGTAAAGGAAGTAGTGAAATGAAGGATCTATTTTCTCAATCAGAATGAAGGAGTTCAGGCTAGCAAACCTGCATTACAACTGATGAGGGAGATGAGTGATCTCCCTCCCTTGGAGAGATTTCTTTTGTGCTTACATTTTAGAGTGTCTTCTATTTTTTTTTTTGCCCAAGTGTGGGCACTTCTGAGCCACCAGGCTTTCTGTGGATGCAGACCAAGAGCACACACAGTGGAATGATGTTGGAGCATTTCTTCAGCATAAGCAGAATGAGTCTCCAAATTTGGCGTACTGATGAACAGCTTTCTCAGCTGTAGGTGCTTGGGTGCATAGTGCTGAGTAACTACACTTAAACACATCATTAGTGTTTGGGGTGTGCTGACAGATTCTGGTGCAGAGGGAAGAAATCCTTTATCTAAAGGAGAAGAATGCAGAGGTGGTCATAAACTGCAATTTCTCCTGTGCAATGCTGATGTGTCAGCATGTGTTCTTATCCTGCCTGCTTGGGACAGAGAGGTGAGATAATTAACATTTTTTTGGTTTTGAGCTGTAGAAGATGTCAGTCATGTGGAAAGTGTTCTCTGGAGAATTTCAGATGGGTTTCTATACTGACTACACCTACAATGGCTTGGGCAGGGCACCCTGACAATGCCTTTGTGGCACTGCCTCACACTTGCTCACACTTCTGGTCTCTTTGCTGGGTGTACTTCAATCCCCTTCTCTGTTGCCCCAACAGAATGGACTGGTCCAAGGTCTGTGAATTCAAGTTTCTTGTTCTGTCCCCTTAGACACATGTGGCAATTTGAAGTGGAAGCCATAGCTCATGCAGGGAAGTTGCACACTGTTGAAACCATATGTCTAGAAACTATTAAAGAATTGCAAGTGAAATAGGAACCTTGTAAGTGGATTGTAGATCTCAGCCAGCCCCAGTTTCACTCCTGCCACAGGTGGAGTCTGCCATGGCAGGGAACAGACGTGTCTGTAGGAGATGGTGTGTCACAGGAGTCCATCCCCATTTTCATTGGTGATGACTGTGAACAGGAGTTAGAAGGGCTTTTGGCAGTACCTTTCAAACTTCTTTTCTGCATTATTAGCAAAAAATTATAGAAGTGTATCTATGCTTGGTCTGATGCACCTCTTGAGTACCATATGCTTTTGCAGAAGCTGACAATTAAAGGAGCTGCTTACAGTGACTGGGAGGTTTGTGGTGGAAGCTCCTCTCTGTATGGGAATGTTAGGGTTACCTTCATTTCCTGAGTAATTGATGAGCAAGGAAAGCACCTTGTCCAAACTGAAAGTTAATTGTAGTTGAAATTTAGGGAGCCTCAGTGATGATTAAACAAACCTAAACTATCTCATAAATTGAGAGTTGAATAAGTTCATACTCTGTTCTGCTCAAACTTATGTGTTTAAACAAGATCTTTTCAATGGCACTGTTTATTCACCCAAGAGCACCTCAGCACATTCTCTGTCCCTCACCACAATTTCTCGCTCTGTTTTTAGCCACTAATACCCTGTTGTAGTACAAATCCTGGAAGGAAGGCGTGGAGGGGGATTAAGAGGCCAGTAGAGCCATACTTGATTATTGTAGGTGGTAAGAAAAGGTCACCACTTGCTTTAATTTTCCTGCTTTGCAAAAGTATGAAATGTCAACATGCCACCATATTTTGGGTCAATATTTAAAATTATTGAAAAGAGTAAGATGTAATAGTGGCAGCTGAGTGTTGATTTTCATTTTAATGCATTAGATATTTATGACTGAATGACAAAGGTCCACAATGCCAATAGACCAAAAGGAGATTTTGGCCCAAAAGGCACACCTTGCAGCACTTAATCAAGCAAATACCCTAAAATTCAGATGGAAATCTTGCTGCAGGATCATATTTTCTCTGTGAAGTACAAGAACAGCAACTACATTAATAATTTTCAACACAATATACTTACTCTTTTATTTCCAAATGACTTGTTTCTTATTTGTAGCTTATAATGCTAAATCTCCTTCTTCCTGCACAGCCACAGAGCTTGCTTTAAAGTCCAAAAATTGTTATTGGCCTGTTTTCAGCTGATTCTCTTGATATCAGTAGGGAGATCTGCCTCTCCCTGGAATGCATCAGTGAATATGAATGACATAAATACAAAGAAAAAAAGACATTTCTTCAAAATAAGTGAGTAGCAGCTCCTACCTCAGCAAACACCTTGCCACCTCCACTCAGCAGCAGGCAGAAACATGGCTGTTTGCATAGATGCCCATCTTCTGAGCTGTTGCCTTCTCTTTTAAATGCATTATTTCTAGAGGATTCAGTCATATCAAATTAAATCTAAACAAAGGAAGTTCTTGACAAGTCAAGCAAAGAAGCATTATCATTTTACTACAGAGTCAAAAAATAAATAAAATACTTGCTATAATTTTATATCCCCTGGTCAGAAAAAAAAAGCTTGCTAGTCAGTCATGATGACTGTTTTCTTTTCCCGGGGCTTTCATGTTGGAGGAGGTGCAGAGGGTAACCTGGGACATTGGTAAGTGGCTTTTCTTGTAACATGAGATTTTCCTGCAGCACACAAGCGAGCCCGGCATTTGTGTGCAGCCCAGCACAAGTAATCCTGCAGAGGTGATCGCCCTTGGTTATTGATGGAAAGATGACACGGCCCCTGAGCCACGCAGGAGCGGCTCCTCCATGGCTTGCACTAGTTCATACAGAAGGCATCCAGACTATGTCCCTGCCAGACAGCTCTGCCTTATTAGGATGAGGCAGTTTTCTTCTGAGCCTGCGCCTCCTTGCCTTGCTCAGAGCCTGATGAATGGGTGGATACCAATCTGACTCTCACATTTTTCATGCCAAGCTGGTTATCCTGTTTTAACATAAACTAGAGCCCTTTTCTTTAAGCTGTATGTTGGCATTTCTTTGAGCCTAAATCTGTGTTCTATCTTGGGAAGGCACAGACTGTATTCGTCGCCGTCTGTGGGTGAAAGCTATATTCCTCACATGTTTAGGTTCACAGCAAATCCTGTAGTGCTAGTGCAGGAGAATTTCCACCTGAACCTCTTCCCTTCTCAATCTGTCAGCAGTGTCTTTTTCATGTGGGAACTTCCTGAGGAACTACTTTAGTATTAACAAGCAATCATTAAGATTACTTGGAGCAGGGCTTGAATGGTGCTGTGAAGTAAACACAGATATAAAACATGGGCACTGGCATTTGGCATTATTTGGCAATTAAGAACGTGACTGGCTTTTTACACCAATAAATTCTTTACTTTAAAAAGCTGCTGCAGCAGAAAAAAAAAAAAGAGTTTCAAGAGATTAATTCTATTCACCCATTTCCCTAAAGAATCACAGCATGCTAAACATGCTTTTTTGCAACACTGAGCAGAGCCTGTGCATTATGTAAGTGAAGGCATTGGTGTCCATTTGCAGATGCTGAAGCTACAAAATTTAAAAAAAAATAATATGTGTTTCTGCAGGGCAGTTGGGCACTTCTGCAGGTCTGTGGGTGAAAGTGCTGCAGTCTGGCAATGGGACAGCTCAGCAAGGAGTCAGTTTGTTACTGGGAATGGGCAAGACAGCATTGCTGAACTTGACTCTGATTTCCACCATTTGATGTAGTCTGGCCCAAAATGTTCAGGCAACAAGGTATCCTGATATTTGCCTCCAGCTTCAAATAGGTGGTTTTGTTGAAACTGACAATTTACTCTTGTTTGTTCTCTGCTCTATGTTTGAAACAAAACAGGACTTTCTGAATACTCAGAAAACACTGGCAGTATTGTTCTGGAATAGACTTAATGAGGGTAACTTCTGCTTTTAGGAAAATAAGTCAGTCTCATGACTCCTTCGAACATTTTCTGAGACCCCGTTTGTCAGTAATGGCTTTATCCAGTAGTAAGTGTAGGCTCCTACAGCACCATTATTGGCCTGTTTTCAGCTCTGAGAAATGGAGACAGCTTCAGGAACAGCTCTGAGGTCAGTGGTGAAGAGAACAAGATTTGGAGTCCCACTGCATGAGTCCCACTTATTTTGTATGAATCACAAAATATTGGCAAGTTCCCCAAATGGTTTGGAATCTTTTTCTGTTGTTTAAATTCCTGTTACAGCCATAACTAACAAAATAGCAGAATAAAAAAAGAAAATTCCTCTCATTTCTTCTCCAAGTGAGAAGTCCCAGTAACCATTGTGGGGGAATGTGTTAGTGCTATAGCATTTCATTCATTTTTCTGCAATAAACTCAGAATTTCAGGAGGAAGATATTACTCTTCTAGACTCTCAGTCCAATAGGAGATTCATTTGTCCTAAGGATTTATATCAGTTCTTTTATCTGAATTTCCCAGTTACTTTAGAGCTGTTGTTTCTGTAAGTTTTACCAGGGCCATCCCACAACACTTCCTGCTCTAGACTTTCACCAAAGCCAAAGAGCGCAGCAGCTACACCCATAACTTCCTTAGACAGATTCCTGAGAGAATGCATCATCTCCCTTTTCTTGGCTTGCTGTAACATGCTTAACTTTTATAGGCACTAGACCTTTTAACACTTTCTAAATTTATGCCAGCAAAGACATGAGCAGCGTAGAACCCTGAACTGCATCCTTCACATTGCTCTGTGTTAAATATACCTGAGACTGCAATGCCTCTGGCATCTCAGAGATTTTACTTTGTATCAAAGACATGTACTCTTAATTAATAAAAGCTGAAAGAAGGCCTCAAGCAGAAGTGTTCTGTAAATCATTAAATTCTCAGGTCTCAATCTGCAGAAAAAAAGTGACGTGTTTAGACTATTACACTTGTGCAGAGCATGACTGCCTCTTCTTCAAGGATTATAGTTTTTGGTGAGGAAGAAGCATGCAGGGGGTACGAAAAAAAGGAAATCAGAGGTGAAATATAATGCTGACTATTTCTTTAAATATATATGTTTTTATTAGCCACAAAAACCTTATTTCTCCATTGTAAAATATTTGCAGTAGCAGCTTTATTACCGTCACAGAATTCTACTTCTAGTTACACTTGTAACACCAACAAAAGCTTTTTATAGCTGCTTTTACAATGATACCTGATTAGGATAAGCTTGAAAACTCTCTAATATTTCATCCTTCTTAAAGACCATTCCTTGCCTATTCATTATACTTGCTTCCCCACTCCTGTTTTCTTGGAAATTCTGTATAAAAGCAGCACATTGGTTTTCAGTAACTTGTTGTGAGCTTTCTCTTAACTGTGTAGGGGAGAAAGGGCTTTGAGAGGTTTTTTTAATCCTTTTTGATGTTGATTAGAAAAATGTTTTGACTTGAGAATTCTCATGTTTGCTCTGTAAAGAACAGAGTATAGTCAGAGAACCAAAAGGTCTCTCAAACAGCTACTGAAGTTTGAATGACGTAGAGCAGATCCACTGTAAAGTGTCTTCCATCTGGTACTTGCCTTCTTTGGCCTCACAGAGGAATTAATATACTCCCTTGTGGTTCTCACAGAGCTGGGCATGAGCTGCATCAGAGAAAGGGCTTTATATAAGTTACAAGTTTTGAGGTTTGTTTGGGTTAGTGGGCTTTGCTGAAAATGGGTTTGCATCTAATCTTGTTTCCATTGGGTTTATTCAAAGTAATGGCTGCTAGCTGACCAAATTACAATAGTATAATTCCTGCCAGAATGGAAGTCAAGCATAGAAAACATAAAAATTAAAATCTAAGGATCCCTGAATAATACAGAGAGGCATCTAGCATAAGATAGGTTCATAAATCTATCTGTTCATTTTTGTACTAAGCATCCAAACTCTAAATTCTCTTATAGGTAGCCTTATTGTCACCTGAAAACTTTGCTGTTTTCCCTAAACAATCACTTTATTTGGAAGCACCTCCAGAATGTCAGTTAAAAACAGTTTTGGTGGTGTTCATCTGTGATGTGATTTCCACATTCAGATTTTATGACTTAGAGAAAGGGACAGATTTGCTGGTGATAATAACTTTCTTACTGTATGAAGCACAGACTTAATACCTTCTAGGCTGAGAGACAAATGCTTCTGTCCTTCCATTGCTGCAGCTCTTGGCACGGGCATTGCTGTGATGGAAGGTCTGTCTCAGGAGCTGCTCCCTAGGTCTCCACCACTGGCTTGTAACTCTTTGGTTACTGTCTGGTCCCATCTAGACTGTACAGTACGTGGGGGCTGGATCCAGCTGCCAAAGCCCCTCTAAGCCCCTCGTGGCTGCACGGTGACAGATGGCTGCTCTGCAAAGCCTGGGTGTACAAACTCAGCCTGATCTCTGCTGGGGCCGTGGGACACCGCGGTGCGGCTCCCACGTGCCAGAGCCGCTGCCTGGGCTTGCCGTGAAACCTTAGTGCAGGGCTGTCCACCTAATCCTCTGCAGGTGGCTGATAAAGCCCTGAGCTGGCTTGTGGCTTAGCTTGGCATGCAGCAAAGATGGGAACATGAAAGCAAAGCCAGCCAGGTCAGCCCTTTGGGGCTGCAGGGCCGATGGATCTCTGCTCCAGCACACGTCCAGGGCAGGAATGAAGGCATAGCAGCAATAGTGCTACTGCTGGCTGCCAACAGCAGGAACCCCCCGACAGGCTCTGCTCACCTCTGCCTGCCTCCAGCACGGGAGGTAATGGAAGAAAATTTACAAGGCAATAATTTCTAATTGCTGTCACCAGTTAGTGGCCACAAACACAGAGGCAGAAATGCTTCTGTCATTCTTCCAAAAAAATAAATGCCTCATCCATTTATTTGTTCTTACAGTAAAAAAAAAAAGAGCCTGTTAAAAGGATTTATCTGAAATTTTCTGCTTCTCTGAACAGGTAGCTCATATAAAAAGATCAATGCTGTCTAACAAAACAGGGTGGGGCTGGCTTTCATTTTGTAATTTCAAGAAAACAATCTTTGGCCTTGTAGAGAGAGGTGGGGATGCCAGCTTTGCTAAGTGCTTTGCTCCACCCCTTCTGATCCCTCCTTAATTGATTATTTTGCTATTTAGTGTGGTCATTTTGGTGTGAGTAGTACTAGAGGACTAATTGGATGGTATCTTTCTCCCCCTACTGCATTTTTAAGACCCTTTGGAGAGTTTCAGAACATAGTTTCATTTCTTGTACTTTAAACAGAATTTTTCCTAATAAGATTTATGAAGATCTTGATTTTAACACACTTCCTTTTTTCATGGTTTTTAAAAGTGACATTAGAATCAGTACCAAACCCAAAAATAATCTGAGGTTTTCTGTAACATAAGATAGGGATAAAAGGTTTCCCCTCTTAGTGGCCTGCTCAAGGCAGCTGAAGATTTGTATGGAATTCTGATGCAATTTTATCCCAGGCTTTGTTTGAAAAATGAGGTCTTGAAACTCCCTCAATGAAGCCTGAAGTGCAGCACATGAAGTGAACCCATCACCTGGCCATCTTTGTCTCTGATGTGCTGGAAGGAGGGACAGGACTGACATAGCTCCTTCACTGGGGGACTCCTTCATCCTGTAAAGGTGCAAAGTTTTGGTTGAA